TGTACTTTCACAAGAACTTTCAAGTACCAATCCCAAACAACAAACTGGTAGTAGTAGCCAGTGGGGGGGGAGAGAGAGAGACAGAGAGAGACAGAGAGAGAGAGAGAGAGAGAGAGGAAGAGAGAGGAAGAGGGGAAAGAACAAAGGATAGCAAAAAACAATTTATTTCTAACACTCTAGTGTCTTCTAGTTCTTTATTTTCTCCTTCTTCCTACCTATTGCATATTGTGATATCCTATAACTCCATTCTTCCACAATAGATATTTCTACCAAAACTTGTTTATGTGGTTTAACACACTTATTTTATATACAATTTTAAAATAAAATCTATTTCCAAATAACAACTCTAGCAAAGTATTTTTCTCTTAGCAGTACATATAACTTTGGATTTCCTCAAATCATTTACCAAAATCCATCTAAAATAGAAATTTATGTAATGCCCATACCCTTTCTGATGCCTTAAATTTCTCTTGCATTTCTGATTGCATCTTCATTGAAACTAGAAATTCAAGCGTCTTCTAGAACCTTAATCATTTTCTTTCTCGTTGTCATGTATGTTAATCCTCTCTTTCCATTTATAGCTGTACTATTTGTAGCCTTGCCATTATCACACAGTGTAATATTCTCTGAATTCAATTTAAACAATTTATTTAATTAAAACTTTCTTTTAAAGTATTGCATGTTTTTAGTGTACCAAGTACTAGACTTCCATTTCATTTGAACTCTCGGAAATCTCAGATATTGTTTATGACACTTTTATCAGTTTGATAAAGATCTATTATTCTTATCTATCCCAATCTATTATTTCCTGAAATTTTGCTTGGAGCAGCAGGGGCAAGGAAGTTATTTTGGTTATTCTGGTTCATTATGATTCAAGAGCCCCACTTGTTTCAGTATAGATTTCGCTTCTCCTGTTGCAAAGGGTTCCTAATGATCTCTTAGCTTCTATAGTGGTACTGTTATTTATTACATATTGCTTTCTCTTAAAGATGCTGATGTCATTGTTCTAAGATTCAAAATGAATATGCTTCTTTGTTCCATATCATTCTCAAGTCCAAACTCTAAAATTTTTCTTGGAATTCTTTATAACCTCTGTCACTGTCCTCCCATTGTTCATCGATTTGCTCGAGCGGGCCCAGTAACGTCTCCATTGTGAGATTTTGTTGTTACTGTGTATGGCATATTGAATACATCACGGGGAGCTTGCCAGGCTTTGCTGTGCGGATGAGATACTCTCGGTAGCTTGCCGGACTCCCCGAGAGGGGCGGAGGTATCAAACTTGGGTCGGCCATGGGTTGGCTGCGTGTACAGCAAACACCCTACCCACTGTGCTATCGCTCCAGTCCTTTATAACTTCACTTTTTTTTGACTTTTTGGGTCACATCTGGTGATGCACAGGGATAACTCCTGGCTCATGCACTCAGGAATATTTCCTGGCGGTGCTCAGTGGACCATATGGGATGCTGGGAATCAAACCCGGGTTGGCTGTGTGCAAGGCAAATGCCCTACCTGCTATGCTATCACTCCAGACCCTATAACCTCACTTTTCTTCCACCTTCTTCCCTCTTTCCCACATCCTCTGACATCCAGTCAAAAGCTGGACTCATGGAATAAAGGTCATTTTTTCCAAATTCTAAACATTTATTTTTTCAAATTCTGTGATTAAAACACAATTTTTCAGATGCCTCTCTATTTTCATCTACAGATGATATACTTTAACCAATTATGACCTCGTTTCCCTCTGTACCATAAAAATGCAGTACCATGAATCTTTATCTAACATTGCCATATTTTCTCAGTGTGATTCTAAATACTTTTTATGGGTAGAAACAGGTATTATTTTTTATTTTACTCTCGACATGATTTGGAGCATATATGGTATTCACATTCTATTACATTTGAATCATTAAGTAAAGTAAATGTTGCAAATACCTCAATCATCTCTTTCCAACAACCAAGTTAAAGTTTTCCTTGTCAGCTATTGCTCTATTTCAAACATCTATTTTAATTTATTCTTGTATCAGGATTCTTTCTGTTATAAGGATTCTAGTTTAGTTCCTATTCACTGTGGTTTTAGTTTTTAAAATAACCTCAGATCTCTTTGCCTTGTCTATGAGTTCCATCCATCATATTCAGTGGTGATTCTCAAAAATTAGATTACATAAAATGAATAAATAAAATAACTAACTTGCCACATTGGCGGGCTCCTGAATCTCAATTTCAGAAATTCAGACTCAGCAAGCCTTGGGCAGAAGGAATGAAGAGACACTTTTAATAAGCATTACAGATACTTCAGTAGAAGATGATCTATATAACCGCAGACATTTCACTTTCAGTAAATTTTCTTCTTAAAACTCAGTTATGATCAAGTTTTTACTAGCTGAAATATATTTGATACAATTTATATAATATATTGTAAAATCATTGAAGTGTGTCAAAAAAACCTCTGCAGTTTTCCAATATACCTTTTGAAGAGCATCTTTTAGCACCATGACCCCACCATTCACCTTTTTTATTTTCCAGTCAGTTATGTGCTGGGCATATTCTCTGCTTGCTATATAACAGGATCTTAGATTTGCCTTCACTTGTAAAATAATAATTGCATTTATGTTGCATCTGCCTACCTGCCGTGCCTTCTAAACCATTCTCCTTCTAAAGACCTCCTACTCATCCTTCCAGCTGCAACTCAATTATGACTTTCTGTAGGAGACCTTTATGAATGAGTGCCCTCAGCTCTCTCCTCATTTTTTCCCTGGTAAAATCCATTGTTCCCTCTGTTTGTGTGGCATGACTCTTTCACATATCTCCAAAATGGCACTCAGATCATGGAAACTCAATAACTAGTCTGATGTCTCCTGACCCAGGGAGTCTATTGAAAGATTCTATACTGTTTACGTGATATCCTCAGATAGGAATTGCTTTTACTCACTTTGATGCAATTGTAGCTTCCTGCCAATGTGAGTGACTCTTTCCACAGTGACAAAGCCTTGAAGTACAAAAAAAGAAGGCATGTGAAGGAGCCAGTATATGCGTCTATTAGTGCATTTGGCCAGGTTTTCCAATATGTTTGTGAATTGTCATTTCCAAATAAGACTTTATTTTCTTTCAAGTCTCAGAAAAATCTTATCTAAACCCGGAACAATGGAACTTTGCTAGTGCAAAGACTGCTGTTGTTTTGGATGTTAAAGAATACCATAGTCACCACTATCTGTGTCCTCTGTACAGTGTCTGTCACTATTTTCAATCCTGACAGACTTGGCACTTGAAGAGAATTCTACAGCCTCCTGTGACATAATGTGGGAAGAAGAGATAGAAAGGATCAAGGCATATGTGGCAAAAAAGAATAGGGTCATTCTTTTCTCCAGCCTTTTTCTATCCAGCTCACCAACCCCATTCCTGCTGGAAAACTGTTCTCAGAAGTTGCTATTTTAAATTCATGAGAAAATTGTGCTCTCTCATTAGAAATGTAAGGTTTGTGGAATGAATATCCTATTAACAAGACTCTATCCTATTTAGATTCTATAACCTAGAGCTCTGAAATTGATCACTGCTCTTAAAGTTGTCACACTACCTTAACTGTCTGTAGTTGGGCTAGGAATGTAAGAGACTTGTCTTGTCTTTCGAACAGGCAATAGAATTGTGGGAGAATAGTAAAATCATCATCTTCAGGGGGCTTTTTAAAGGTAAGTGAGAATAGTTGTTAAAATGTAAATTACAAAATTATTTGGCTGGAAACGATTACAATGGTATTGTCCAACAAGGAAAAGGAATATAACAGAAACCACTTATGACCATTAAAGTAATTGAAAAAAAAATCCAGGAACACTCTTATTTAACCACTGGATTTGGACTGTTATAGAAGAACAGTATCCAGCTATTAGGAGTTAGGAAGTGACTGGAAAGTTGAATGGGGAGCAGTGAATCATGCATTGTTTATCACACAAGAAGCAGAGATCCTAAGGTTGCTGGATGCTGGGGGTGGGGGGGGGGGGCGTACTGATGTGTTGTCAGGCACTGGAGGTTTGATTTGTACCCTTCTTATTTATCACCCTGTCACAGACTAGAGATGAATGCTGACCAGCAACTATTGCTAGGGCTGGATTTGTTCACTTCTCCGGATACAGAAGGTTTAGAAAACCACCGTGCATCCTATTTGCACTTTCTCAGGGGCTAGAGAGCGGATACACAGGGCAGGGCAATTGCCTTGCACGCGACCAACCCGGTTCATTCTCTGGGGCTCATAAGGTCTCTGAGCACTGCCAGAAATGATTTCTGAGTTCAGAGCCAGAAGTAAGCCCTGAGTATCCCTAAAAGTGGCTCTCAAACTTAAAAAAAATGTAAAATATTGTTCTAAATAAGAAGAAATATTGATGCCAAAATATATATGAATGCACTGATGCCATTTGATGTGGAACTGAAGAGACTTTATCATCTGTGCTGTAAATTAGCGTGCTTCTTTCTACACCACAAAGGAGTCGTGAATAGTTATGATCACGTTGCATGCCTTAAAGGAATCATCCGAGTTTTCCTCGGAATTATACAGTCAGCCTGGTTTTCTTTTCAAGGAAAGGACCGCTTCCTTCAGAAACAAACATATCTCTGGCAATTTGGTTTCTTTTTCCCCGCTCCCTTACTGCCATATGGCACTGCTATCAGAGTTTCTGACTCCTTCTGGGAATTAGCCTAGGAGAGCATGTACAGCAAACAATAAAACAGCGGCTTTGCAAGGAAAATAATGAGGGGGCTGCTTTATTGTTCCCACCACTAACACATCAGAACTGCAAGATATCCTGCCCCGCTGGCGACGCCCCGCACCCTCGCCCCGTTCTGCTCCCACCGTGGCTTGCAGAGACGTCTGGGAACCGCCGCCTGCTGTCCTGTTCTTCTTCAGCGCTCGCTTCCGACGGCACTAGGACCCAGCAAAGTCCCCGAGAGAGGTTCGCGGAAAGGCAGCCAGACTCCTCCTTATCTCCAGTGTCAAACTTGACATCAGCCTGCGAGCGGAGCATGGTAACTTCTCCAGCAATCAGAGCGCTCCCCCTCACATCAGTGGCATGCTTCATGGAGATATGCTCCTCTCACTGCCCTCTACACCAGCAACATGGATTGTCACCTCTCCATCCTCCTCTGTCTCAGCTGTTCCTTTCTCAACTGCTTCGGGGAACTGATTCTCCAGCCTTCCAATGAAGGTAAGCCAGGTACCCGGGGAGCGCACTGCCCTGACCCGCGGGGCTGAAGCACTTCAAAGCACGTTTGCAAGGAACCTTTTCAGGTCCTGAAGGTGCTTAAGTGCAAGAGCCTCTTGCTTTGAAGGTAAATTAAAAATATGCTTTTATTTTCAGTTGCCTTCTTAAAACACTTCACTGGATCATCTGAGAACCTAAAATGTGTTTAATCTGATACCAATTCAAGCAATTCGCTTGTCTGCCCATTGAGAAGAGAAAGAAAGAAAAATCCTGCATTTTTACACCCCAAAATGTTAATGGGCAAACAGCCCTGGCAGTCTTTTATTTTCTGTTTTGACCATGTAGTACTGTGAGAAGTTGAAAAGAAAATTCAACACTCTTCGCCACCTACTTTAGTGTGTTTAAAGGTATTGACAGGTTGTTCCTACTTTGAATCCTGGCGTTTATGAATGGACTGAGGGAAATTAGTGCTTAGTGAAGTGGAGATATGTGTGTGCGTGTGTGTATTTATGTTGCAACTGCTATGTCGAAGTGATATGTATCCCACCAGGCGATGGTTTGCTCTATGGTACAGGTTCTAATGAGCAGCATATGCCACATTAACATAAGTAATATTTGCAGGAATTACAATAAGCTTAAGTTGGATTCTCTTTGTTTAAGAAGTTATTTACAAATAGTAGACTGTATTTAATGAATAGTGAATAATAAAAAGCTCCCGGGTAGGTATAGTATAGCAAATTAAGACAGAATGTTTAAATGCAGCAAATGACATTTCCTTGATGTTGGGTTATTTATTTTCCTCTCAATGGGCATTCATCTCTTTTCCATGAATGAAAATGCGAACCTAATATTGAGGACAATTGTACTTACTATGCGATTGTGTATTTTGTAAATTCATAAGCTTTTCCTGGTATATTTTTTGTTATTTAGTGTTAATGTTTTGTGAATATAATAAGTAAATCTATAAACAAACTTCTCTGAATAATTGTTTTTTTAGCATCACTTGCAACTTTGATTTCCTACTAGTCATTTTGAGTTTATAACAATATTGAATATTTTAGCAGTACTGAGATGTGCAAACACTCCATTCTATGTCACTTAAGTAGAATATATATTGGCAGGCTAACATTGTTTTATATATATATATGTATGTATATATACACATAAAACTTTTTAAAATGTCCAAACTCAAATTACTAGAAACATTTAGATAAAATATTTAAAAACTGCCTTTCATATTTGGTGACCTACTTTCTCTGCTAATAGAGGAGTTTTATTTCATTATTTCTTAGTGACTGCTTTTAGCAATTTGGCAGATTTCATTCAATTGTTCTGTCATTTTTAGGGGGCAAGTGGGGTGGGGCAGTACTGAAAATCCTAAACTATTAGATGGAAGAAAATAATCTTACCTACAAGTGACATTGCTTCACAAACCAAATTACAATGTTTATTAGAAAGTAATGGTCAAATCATTCTTCTTAGATGATAGGCAACACTAGACACCTGTATAATGAGTAGCATCAATAAATTGAAATAATAAAATCTTTATTTATTTGACAATATTAAAGTACTGACAACTAAAAATAGTTGTTATTCTCACCTTGCTCTGGTAAATTGTAATTTTCCAAATGGAATATTTACACACTCTTCAGATAACGGATTTTACTGAATTAATAATGCACAGATATGTAAATGAGAGTATTTGGGGGTTGAGAGGGGATGTGTCCTTTCAATAAATTGCAAAATGAGAATATCCTTTATACTTTTTTACAAATATAAAATTACTGAATGTTAAAATTAATTGAAATAGGAATGTTAAGTGTAAACTTTTATATATTTCAATATATGCTGCATAAATGTATATTACAGTCAGGTACATATTAACAATATGCATATATTAACAATATGCATATAAGAATGCAGGTAATTCTGGAAAATTTACATAACTGCATTTTATTTCCTTGAATAAAAGTTTATCTCCCCATTGTTCTTGGAGTTATTCTCTTAGAGCCTGTATAGTGAGTACATTTACCGACATTCTAAAGAAAAGCTTTGAAATAAAAATTTAAATAATTCTTTAAGTTTGTTGCTATTAACAAAGAATTATTTCTGGAAATGTATAGATTAAGTGTGAAGGAATAATGGTAAAGTTATTTTTGCTAATTTAGCTTAATATATACATTTTAGGAACTGAAATATAAAATACAAGGATGATTTTTTTATGTACTATACTCAAAATTCCATCAAAAAACTATAGAAAATTTACTAGTAAAATTTTCTAGACTTTATTCAGCAATCTATATGTATACAAGAACTCAGAGATCAAGACCAAGTTATTGAGTGTTTAGAAATAACATCAGTGTGTTTTTATTTGATATTCATAATCAACTATTAACATTAATATGATATGGATCCATAGCAAGAAAATAACTTTAAAAAGTTTAGATATCTAAACTTTTTAATATGCTACCAAGAAAATAGTGATACTTTCCACTAAAAGTTTCTTCAACTATAATAGATTATTCATAATTTTAATGATCACTTAAATCAAGAATTGACTTATGTATTGGAACAGAAACTTTATAAAAGCTATGCATATTTTTATAAAAGTATTACAAGTTTCTTCCATTTATGTGATACATGAAAAAAGACTCCCGATGGGAAATCAAATACTTTTTATGACAAAATTGGATAGACACACTATGTATTATTGGAAAAGTTTACTATTTGCCCCCTACTTATATTTTATATGGCTTATGATAAGGTGATTAGAAATGACTACAGAAATAGTTTCAAACTTAATATAAAGTGAAGTATCAACTATTATTACATCACTCTGTTTTAATACTGTATAAAATACTTTCTTGAAACCCTTCTGCATTGGAAATAGTTTGAATCAGAATGACTTTCTTCATCAATATTACTATACTACATTCTTTTTTTTATCAAAGTGTTCATAAATTTACCTTTATATAACATAAATACTGGAGATCAGTTTTCAAAACAAAAGGGAGTAATATTATGTATGCATGTGTATATACATATATATGTATAAAATATATATGTGTATAAAATATATATGTATAAAATACATATATATGTATATGTACATATATAAAATCAATTTTGAAAGACTTATTAAGGTGAATGGACATAAGTTCTATAAAATGTATCTCATTATACACAAATCTCTATAATACTAAGGGACTCTGTATGGTCATTTATAGTTTAAAATAGAGCTTGCAGATGAACACTGTATTCCTTTCCAGTATTAGACAAATGTTGGAGAAAATAAATATTTAAACACTGGATTATTGCCTTTTAAACTATTACTATGAATTGGCATCATTTTTCATGTGTAAAGACTAATCCATGAGTAAAAATACTTTGTCACTAAAAATTAATAGAGAACTAAGATGTCTTATCATTATTACAGAATGTTATTTTTGAGAGAGGATTTACATTTGCTTTTAAGAGCATTTCATCATGCTAGACTAAATAATTGAATTCATTATACATTTTTGTAATTTAATAGCTCTCCTAATAGCTAGCCCCTACCTCCATCCAACAGTTATAACTGTGCTATTTGCCTGGAGGTAGGAGAAACCTTAATTTCACTATTTTATAACCCACAACAGTTAACACTTGACCTAGGTCATTAACAGGATTATCAGCAAATTTGTTTAAGCTTTTACTGACAACCTGAATTGCTAGGATAATATTTTGATTGTGCCGGAAAGAAACTTCATGTAACCTTTCAAAATCTATCATGAAATTAATTCATTCTGAATTTATATATTCCTGAAAACAAATACTGATAATAATAATTCAGTGGAGAAACACCCACTTTGGTACCTCATTTTTCTTAATTGAACATTTCATCCCTCAGAACATTCTGTTATCTATTTGTGAATATTCATAAGTAAGCAGTCTAAAACTTTTTAAAATAATGCATATACTAATAATAATAGATGTATAAATATAAGCCACTTCATTGTATCAAAATATTTTATATCACTTTTGTTACAGTTGAAAACATCCATCATTGCTTTAAGACATAATCAGTTGCATATATTTATAGCAGAAACAACTGAAACTATATAAGGAAAACTACATGTAACATACCATTACCACATGTTATGCCCTGGTCGCATTTTATATACAGTTGTCTTTCTCATGAAAACTAAGAATTGGAAACTATTCTACAAAGCACTAAAATTAATGTAAAGTATTAAACAAAGCGTTGTATGCAGTCAGAACTTAAAGAACTTTAGCATTGTTAAAATGATTGAGAAAGTTACAGATAAAAATAAATAATTAAATACATTTCTGACTTGCTCCCTGCTTATATGAAGAAGTAGCTTCATCTTGTCTGTTAAACTAATTTTTGAATGGATTTAGAAAGATCCTTTATCTTTTTTGTACTGTTATCTACATTTTAATGTTCAAAATTTGCTTTGTTCTTAAGAGTCTCTCAACTTTTAATAGTTTCTTAGAATACTTTTCTTTATGACGTTCCCCAAATTGTTTCTGAAACTTTGTAAGTTTTCTGAAATAAAATATTTGCCATTTTTAAATATCAAATAATCAGTTACATATGCAAAGGGCTTTTTAAAAGCAAAACATATTTCCACAGTATATTTGATTTACTAACGTCAACGCAAATGGAAACAGTAAGAACAGTTCTTAAGAGTTACATTTTCCAAGTCATAAAATCTTCAAGAAAATATTAATAAAACTTTCCACAAATCATCAAAACTCGATAAGTTATTACAGACATTTAGTTACTAAGAAATCTGTGATGTGGGTTACCTTTGATTTTAGTCATTTCCCAATAATTTTGTTTGGCATAAATACTAGATCTAAGAGAAAATATGTATTTCTTGGATGAACAATAAGTTTTACAAATCATTTTATGTCAAGAACTCCAACTTTATTCATTTTCTTAATGTACACGTTTTTCCTTTAGAAACATTTAATAAAAACTGCTCTTTTAATTTCTA